CCATGCTGCCATGCTGCCATGCTGCCATGCTGCCATGCTGCCATGCTGCCATGCTGCCATGCTGCCATGCTGCCATGCTGTTTGTAAGTTTAATTTAAACAGAGCCCCATTCAAACCAGCTTTGCTGATCTGGGCACCTCTGCATAAATATTGTTGATAATAAATATATAAATGCTAGCGGTCCAGACCTCTAATTTTCCAATCGCCAAATAATTTTTTTCTTGATCATAAACACAGGTTTGTAGTATCCTTGGTCTATTTTGGGTTTGATCTTTACACCACACAGTTACCAGGAAGCATCTATCTGAATTACTTCCTCATGAACCTTATTGATATCCCAGTCATTGGAGTTGTATGGTTCACAGTTCATCGGTGAGTTGAAGATCCAAAAACCATTTAAAGTTCAGGTTTCATGACAGGTTGAGTGCAATTGGTGTGGTTAACTTTCGGATATCTTTTTCACGCATTTCCTTTAATTCTGTTTGGTTGCTGGTTTTCCTCCCTCAAAGAAGCCCAACGCACTCGAAATTTTATATTAATTTTAGCTGTGGCCACTGTGGGGCAAGGTTTCTCTTTCCTTTCCGATTCATGCATATATATATATGCATATTCAACGGTATCACTGTGACCTGTGAAGGGTATTTAAACTTTTAATGATGTCACTTTCCTTATATTTCATTATTGAGTTAGCCATGCCCTGACTTATCGATCAGGCAAGTGGTCGTTTTAGGTATTGAAAAAAGGAATTAAGCAATTTTTTCTTGATTTTTTACTTTCTTTCATAATGATAGATATGGAAGAAAAATTCCATACTGCGTGTACATGTTCGTGGTTGTTGTTTGTTCCTTTGTCATCCTTGGGTTGCCAAAAGAGTACGAAATAACAATAACAACAATGGCAATTTTGGGAAGATCCTTTGTGTGGTCAGAGTTTCATAATATCTATCTGATTACGACTGAGCTCTATCCCACGGTGGTTAGGTAAGTAATTATAAATACTACTATATAAATTGTTCCTCTTGAAGGAGGGGGAGAGTGGATGCATGGAGACTCGAAACTTTTGAAAATGACCCCTAAAAGCTAACCGAGTCATCCAAGTCGGCAACTAATGATTTTTACCCCTAAAAGGCCAATTATCTATGAGTGATAGCTAAGTGATAGAAGTCAAGTGATAAATCGAAAATATATATCCTGAATATGAATATATATATATATACACTCGATTTCAGAAACGTTGTAGTATACATTAATACATTTATACAAATATCTAATGAGATGCATAATGCAAAATAACCATTTTCAGCTAATAAAACCTACTGATTTATAATCTGTACGATCTAATAGACAAGAAAAAATATTTTGACAGTCATTGAATGACACAAAAAAATAAAGCGATTTTTCCGATTTTATATCATTAAATATACTGAATAAATTAGATATCTGTATAAATGTATACTAAAACGTTTCTGCAATCGAGTGTATATATATATATATTCATATTCAGGATATATGTTTTCGAGATATCACTTGACTATATATATATATATATTGTTGAAAAAAGAACAAAAAATATATAAGCATAATATATATTTCTGATTCAGGAACACCGCCATGGGACTGGGCTCTATGACCGCTCGTATTGGTGCAATGCTTTCTCCATATATTGTAATGGTGGTAAGTCTTTTTTAACCGCGTGAGAATCATGCAACTTCATGGTTACCCGGCTAATTATTTTTGTCGCTCAAGTATTGTTTTACTGAATGGCTGGATGGCTAGATGTTTTGCTGGATTATGAATAGCTGATACTGAGGCTGGATGAGGGTATATGGGTAGAAGAGAATGGGTTGCTCAATAAGGGATATGTGGGTTGCTGATTGGCTGATGGCTGAGATAGTCAAATCATTTTAAATATATTATCATATATACAATTTAAACCTTCTTTGCAGGCCCAACTTCCAGGACTAAGCCTTACACTGCCTGTAACAATATTTGGAGTCCTAGCACTTATAGCTTCAGTCGTGACCCTTTGGCTGCCTGAAACAATCTGTGCTAATATGCACCAGACCATCGAAGAAGCTGAATCAGCGAAGGAAGATTTTTGGGCATCTTGCTTCAGGAAAAACAGGGATGAGTGCAAAGATGCTAATATTGACATGCCTAAAATAACACCATTGAAATCACACACAGAACATGTGACTGCACTTTAAGCATTTGAGGCAAAGATTTTGTATCTAAAATGCTCTTATAAAATATCGAATTAAGCTTTTTTGGCGGATGCGCGTGATTCCATAGTCATTGATTTGCGTATGAAATTTTTTTAATCCAGTTTCTCTGATTAGTTACTCTAATATTTACAATAGACTTATACACATACAAAATCAAATATTGTCAGTGTGATTATTATAATATTGTTCTAGAATAATTTATAAATGAATTATTGATCTAGTATGGATCTTGATGAACATTTGATTAAGAACAAATGCAGGAAAATATTGTTGAAAATAATGACAGGATGTCCTCGAAACGTCCAGCAATTCTTGCGTTTATTTTCTTAATCAAATAATTGATCTATTTGGTAACATATAGAGGATATTGCATGGGCGCGCGGGAGATACGAATTTTATCTTCAAGTGTTGAAAAGATCTCTCTCACGAGAAGATAAAATTCGTATCTCCAAGCGGCAATGTAATATTCTGTTTATTATATGATTATCAATGAAGTATGTTTTGGCTTTTCAGGCAATTCTTTCCGTGTATTTCTGAATAGCTATCACAATGGTGTTATCTTCACACGTGAAAATAACATGTTATTTTCACATGTGAAAATATCAATTTTTCGAAATAGAGAAAAATAGATTTTTTATTGGTAATTATATAATAATATAATTCATTCAAAAAATTCCATGGTTTACGAGGCGCATAAGAAAACGCGCCAAAGGTTTGAAAGAAAAACGGTTTGAAGCACGCTTTGGCTCCATGCGCGTGCGGTTCGTAATAGGACGTTTGCATGATGGCGTCACTGACCTCTACTACCAGACTCCATTGCACACTTTCTTTTATTCAGTTAATTAGCACCAATTGTCTTACTATT